GTTAACTAAAGCAATCCTAGTGAGTCTTTGAAGATGGTCACTAGTCAGATCCTAACCATATCAAAGATTGCGGCTAAAGGATGCCTGCTTTGCAGGACATCTCTTTACCTTTAGAATCCTAAACATTCTGGATTACAGAACTTTTATAGTTTCTCTAGCAGGAAATATTTGTTATTACTTTACTAATCTCATAAAATGGGGATGGGCTAAAATGTGCTGAACGAACAGTTGGGAGAAACACAATACCTGGAATTTTGCCACATTTGGACAATTTTCAAGAAGGCCTAAAAAGGCACAACCTTCATACATAAAGAATCTATCAACTGAGATACAACACTCCAAAAATCAAGAGTTACCAAGCCATGCACATCTTATTTTTTTTTCAGTACAGCAAAGCTAGTATGGTTTTTTTTTTCTTCTCCTTTCATATTAAACTTTGTCCCCCCTCAGCTTAAATGGCTGAATCTTTTTTACTCAATTCTTCCAAAAGCAATGAAGCGTAAAGCATAGAGCAAGTCTGAAAGTATTTTAGCTCTAACAGTTTGTCTGGCAAACTTAGATGCCAGTAAAATGGAGTTATGCAAGAAGGCAGTGTCAGGCAACTTAATGCTACTGATCTCACCTATTAAATTGTTTACCAAAAGACCATTTCTGCAAAGACAAATGCCTTCCACCACAACATCTTACCACTTGCCAAACCCTTCATTCTGCCTGGTTTGCTTTTTAGCCCTTTTAATCTAAGTAAGCCCAAAAGGACCTCAAATTTAACAGGCTCGTAGGTGTTACAGCAGTGTGATTTCTACTTGGCAAAAAGTTTGGTTTGGATAAGTATTTTAAGTATTTACCACACATGAAAAGAGAACCCCATAAAACCTTTACCAGGCTGCAGTTTAATAATTATGCAGTTGCTCTTTGCTACCTTCTCACACCCCTACAATACATTTTTACAAGACAACTGTATGCACATCAGTAGTTACATTTTATAACCATAAGCATTTAATGACAAGCCTAAATAATTAGGAATATTCTGAGAATATAAGCTGATCCTAACATACTAGCAAAACTGTGTGAATAAGTGGAGTGAAAAAGGGGAGAGATACAGTATAAATACTTTAACATCAAATTTTCTTTATGAGAAAATGTATATACATAAACTCAAAAATATTTCTGTGTTAAGAAAAAAAGCAAAGTATCAAATACAAACACTCATTTCCTGCATGTTTTTGATTTTATGGCTTAATAATAAGGATCTAACAACGTCTTCTGAATTTTTTTTTGTTTGTTTCCCTTTATTCAATCCTCTAGAACCTGGATCTACACTTTTCTAGCTGGTAAACAGTGAAAGAAACTTGTTCATTCAACACAGCACAGAGGGTAGAATACTTGGGACTAGACACATTTAAAAAAAAAAATCACTTTTAGAGGAAAAAACATTAATTAAAATGGCTTAAAAAAGCTTTTATTACCCCAGTATTGATTTTCTCATGTGGAAATTTTGGGTAACACAACAGCTTTCAAGTAAAACCATTCCTAAATGAAAACTTACATTTAATGTTTACAGTAGACTCTAATTCAAAAATGATATTTAAGTACAGAAGCAAATTATGCTTTGCACGCCCAGAGTCCTCTTCCATTTTAGAGCCTTCATCAAAATCACTTCCAAACAGAAATGACATTAAAATTTTGCAGAACAGCTGGCTCATGTGAAAACAGCAAGATGTGCTGCCAACAGGAGCGCTTGTCTTTAGAAGCTGATCATGGACTTCAGTCTGGAGAGTTTCACAATTGCTTCCGGGAAAAAACCTAACTGAAACTGCAGTAATTTTTTTAATTGCTTATGTGGACTACATCAAGGAGTCCATTTACTTCCAAACTGTCAGAAATGTAAAGAAATTCAGTGATTTAAACATATTCCTAACTTGCTCCAGCTATGAAAACAGTTGTTGTAACAAGAAAAATTTGTGCCATGAGGAAAGAACAAAAATTTCCACTTTGGAAGTTGAATGCAATCAATAGTTTTGAGAAAAATGAAGTCAGTGGTAGTTTCAGTTCTTAATGCCTCAAAATACCCCTTTGAATAGACTTTTAAACTCTTCACAAGAGTACTGTACAGACTCGAAATACACGGACCAGTCCAGGTGTTTTACTCCCTATATAAGTTTTAAACCCAAGAAAAAAGGAATTGTGGTAACCTTGCAAAAAAAATCCAGTCAGAATTTTGTTCTGTTATGTAAAAAAATATTAACCACATTGTGTAATTACCTGAAGCATGTTTTCTTCTCCCAGATGTTTAATTTGGAATGTTGAATTAGATTGAACTTACAGAAACTAGATGAATCATGAGAGACAAATTTGGGCTGCTCTCTGTGAAATAGACTTGAATCTTCATAAGTGTAATAATTTATAAAATTGGAGATATCACATCATCTATATTGAGCTTCCTTTACTTGCTCCACCTTAAGAAAAGGAATTTCCAGGGAAGCACCTTCAAGTTGACAAATATCACTTATCACTGTAAATTCTTAGGGCAAACCAGCCTTTCCCACAACTGGGAGAGGAGATGGTTACCTGTCAAGGATCTCTAATTTTTTAGAGTTTAGGTCTGTTTTTTTGCCTACTCAATAATTATACGTTCTCTTCAAAGGCTGAGCGGGTTTCCTCCTTTGTTAAGGAGACATATTGGATCTCACTAAAATGGAGGGAGATGCTCATTAAAACGCAATATTTGAGTAGGAAAACTACATTTATTTACCAAATTACATTAAGGAACAAGAATGAGCTGCTGCTCCTATCAAACATACTTTGATTGATTTGGGATTCATGATATCATTGCCAAAATCAATAAATGGGCTGTATTTGCTTCCTGTAGTTTTCCAGCAATCTTAACTCTATGCAGAGATCTTAAACCCCTTAACCAAGGCTGCAAGATTCAACCTAATTCACCAACGCTTAACTGAAATGCTGCCTCTGCAGCACAAAGATAGGTGTAATAAGCTTTGAGGGAACACAGTCTTTAAAATGAGACATTTTCATCTGTAATCCCACAGCCACCGGCATGGCAGGCCCACAGCCAAAACCATGGTGCAGTTCTAGAAATGAGCTGATACTCCAGTTCTGGCCAATTTCAACAGTAATAATCTCCTGTTCTTATAGAGGGAGTCTGAACAGGAGATTTTCATAAGTGCCTCACTATTACACATGGTAAAACTCTAATGCTCCAGAAACATGAGTAGTTTAGAATGACCCCATATCACAGAGATTCAAACTCTGAAGTGATTATTTGGGAGAAGCTATATCAATGAGAGTAAAATAAAGTTCAATTTTCTTCAGACAAAATTTTCCAATTATCTTCAACAGCAAATAATTGTTTACCTTTTTTTTTTTGTTGTTGTTCACTCTAGAATCAAGGCTAATGTTTTCTGCAACATCCAAGCACTGACCACATACAGAAATTTTGATCCCCTTTCATTTTGCAGTTAGCCATCACTGAGTGTCCCCTTAAATAAAATCTACTCCAAGGGAAAGGAGCTAATGAAAGATTTAATTCTTAAAATTAACTTCACACAATGTATTTTTTCTAAGGTGACCTTACACAGAAGCTCTTTAACAGACAGATTACTTGATCCAGGAAGCAGGAAAGGATGAGTTAAAACCATCAATAACTCTAAAATTTAGATCTTCAGCTTTTCTATATCAAAACAACAGTATACTCACATCATCTAGACAGGAATTCTGGAAGAATATACAGTGTAATAACACTACAACTTTACTTGTGAAACAATGCAATGAGCTGTTTGGGTAAGAAAATAGATGAACCATCATTCTTTGGAATAATGCTTGAATTTCTACAATTATTTCATCAACCATATTTGAGATGTGCTGTTGGCTATTAAAGGTACTTTCAACAAGCCTTTGGCCATATACCAGTTAGTTCCTTAGTATGTTTTGGATAGTTTGTCACTGAAATTGTTTTCAAAAAAAATCCCAGACTACAACAAATCTAAGTCTCACAGCCTGGGAAGCACTGAGCTGTAAAAACTTAAGTCCCAAGATTCTCAAAACAGAGTGTCTGCAGACTGGGAACTGGAATAAAGTTACAGTGACAGTGAATGTACTGGTTCAATTAGGATGAAAGATGTCATCAACAAAACTTTGCACAGGAGTTTGCAGCAGCCTTTTCTGTCACTAAGAAGAAAGGAAAACTATAATTTCTGTCTTCTAGAAGAGTGACTGTTATAAGGAAGTCACTCCTTACATGTTGTATTATATTTGAAAGAAAACACTTGGGAATTAAAATATCACCGTTGTTTTTAAAAGTCTAGTAAATGGGCACAGAAAAGACAGTTGAGGGACTTCTGAGGCTCTGAGTTCAATTTTCCTTGATTATCAACTAGCAAAGGATGTAGGAAGATGATATGGTTTGAAGCTGGCTCCCTGCCAAGTCTCCAAATCTCACCACAAAAACTCCCCCCGCCTCCTGAACCAAGGGAAAAGAAAAAAAAAAAACCAAGAGAACCGAAACAAGAGAGAGACAGCTAAAGCAATATATATAAATATATTTACACTTATATTACAGTTATATACAATTGAAATATATATACAATTTCAGAAGGAAAAGGGAAAGGGGAGGGGGAAGGGAAAAAAGGAACAAAACCAAAATAAAATATATACGATCAATAGCCCAAGATCTAGCAACTAAAAGAATTAGCAAAAGAATATCTTACTACTCTCCTTGGGACAACAGAGAGTCACGCTGGAACGATCGCCGGCAACCTCCGTCTCCCAAGGTCGGCAAGGCCTAACCAGGCCTCGCTCCCCAACACGACAGACTCAACAGCAGGGAACCTGCACCTCCAAGCCGCCGGAAGGAAAGAGAACAAAGGCCTTTCCTCCTTTCTTCTTATAGCCTGGCTTACGTAAAAATTGTAGGGAATACTGGGTAAATCTGGGCCCTTCCTTGGTTACAAACTGGTCACCAAGGAAGGCCTAGACTAAACTACCACAGAAAAATACTGCATTTCCCCTCCCCTAGTAGCTATAAGTTTTCCCAAAGATTACTTTTTTCCTCCATGCTTGAGAGCTTCAAAAGTGGCCCCAATCAGAGAAATGATCAAGGTATTCTGTAGATATTAAGACTGAAGACTAACATTAAACTTAAGTGCTCGATTTTGTCTTATAAGTGCTGTGGTTCCAGTGTCACTAACTACTGGAGAGGTACAATGGAACAATGCTTACCAGAAACCTACAGCCTCTGCAGACCTCATCTCTGCTAGGAATGAGCTGAGCCAGAACAGAGGAGTACTGGATCGTATCTGGACTGTTTTTCTCTTGTTCATCTTTTGTTTTTCAGAGACTGTTACATTACCCTTCCTGTACGGTATCTCTTTAGCAGATACAACACTGACTGACCATGAAAACATCAATTTAAAGCTTCAAACTTAAAATGTAATTGGGATGACTGGCTCCTTTCTTATCAAGCAGATTTTCTGCCTAGTAGACACTGGGTTAGCATCTGAACCAGCACTTTGTATGTTTTCCAGCATGTCATTCAGGCTCAATCCTGAATGCAATTTAACAAACTGACAAGGAAACTCTTAAGAGGTCAAAAATAGAAAAGTTACTTAAGAAGTTGCTCAAAGACTTTATCCCAGGAATAACACTACTATGTCTACATAGCTTCTGAGTGAAGAAGTATTGCCAAGTTTACTTACAACCTGTCCTGTATATAGAATACAAGTTAGAGCAAGTACATTTGCAATTATCTTTTTACCCCATACATAGAGAATAGTATTTAGCAATATTCCTTAATAGGATTCTTTTTTCCTTTGGTTTTTAGAAATTGATGTATTTTCTACACAATGAAACATGACAGTAATACTGTCATGAATTAACAGTGACATGCCACCACCATGACTCGTTGCTTCAAATTACATTCTAAAAACATTCATCACCTGCTTGCTTCCTCTTCCAACCTTTATTTAGGAGAGAATTTTTCTTCTATCCATTTGAGACGAATTAAATTCTCATACCTTTAGATTGACTTTTTCTAAAGTACAATCATTAGAAAGACCAACAATAAAGTAAAAGGCTTTGCAAGCTTCCCATATAGCTCCTTCTCTAATAAACCCCTGACACACAGAAACATTGCTACCCCAATCTAAATCTCCTCATAAATCTTTATATATAGCATTCTGTCACAGTTTTTGCAGTTTTTCTCATACCTGCTTTGTGTGCTAGAACAAAGTTCAGAAAAGTTAAAATAATGTAAATAAGTCGCTTAAGTCCTACTACTTATATTAACTTCATTAAGGAAAAACCATCAGAGCTTAAATTCTTATGGCTGGGAACAGAGTTCAGTTAAGAGAGCAGAAAGGAATATAACACACATCTGAGTCATGTTTGCACTTTCAGCACCTTGTGGTATGGGATGATGACTCCAGCAATTCTAAATTAAAAATGCTATAATCTTCATCTTATTCTAAACTGTTAGGCTTGAAAACTAGTAACAGGCTGTAAATTCAAAACCATTCATAAACATTATTAAAAGAAGCACTTATATTAAGTTCTAGTTCACTAGCAAATTGGTTGACAGACATCATTCAACAGTCAATGCTGGGATACTAAAATCAATTTTGAAGAAGAGACTAGCAAGTTTAAATTTCTTTCTGAGTAGAGAAGCATTTTAAGAACCTCATTGTTATCAATGACCCATATAGAAGTATCTAAAAAATTCAGGATAAAAAACCCCATAGCTTCCCAAAACCACGCTTTATTTTACTTAAAGTAACACTGCAGAGGACACAGTCCTATATCTGACACAGGATCAAGACTACTTTAAAAGCATAGTTGAGTAGACTTCAGTTCTTTCTGAACAGGCTGGTTCTCAACAGACATTTAGTGAGATGACTTCCTTAAATCAATCCCAAAACACTGTAGAAATAAGCATGACAATTTCAGACTTATGAGAAAATGTTACTTACATACAGAGGTTAATGACAGATTGGACAGTCGAAAAGCATGCTGAATAGCGCCTAAACACAACAAAACATTAATGCTGCTTCTTATATTTGAAAAATTCATACCTGGGTATACTGCCTGTTAAGCTTCTTTCACTTGATGATGATGACGATGATCCAGGTCTCTGATCTGTTTTCCTTCCTAGAGTCTCTGTTGCACTAGTTTGAGGTTTTTCACCTTCCTCTTCTGGTTTTTTTTTTTCACTATCACTTTCATCACTGCCTTCTCCTAAGATGTCATCCACCTGCCAAAGAGTAGAGAGTCAGTGTATCTTCTAACAAACTACTCTGTATCAATCTTTCATAATAATTGGGTTGCTCTTTATTAATCATTAAGAACATGCTTCAACTTTCCTTGGCCTTCCCCTTGTAACAACTCTGGCAATATTCTGTTCAAATTGAATATATTCAGTTTATGCTTAGCTTAAGATAAATACATCTATACACATACATGATATAGTCACACAAGAAACTATTATAAAAGGAGTGCTGTCTTTTGAAATTAAAGAGACAGATGTTTTACACTATTGTTAACATGTTGATGCATGTTTTCTATTACATAAATTTTGTATTATCATAACATACAGAATCATGTGGGCATATTAAAATCTCTAGTAAGTATTCTTACATTTACAGGTATTCCTTGATGCATATATAACTTTAAAGAAGTCTATTCCTACATAACATAGTATAAATGAAACAATGGACAAAACCCATTTTAAACAGATTGTCTGCTTCTGCTAATTAATAAGGGCAAATCTAGCAAAAGATTGACATATTTAGTTAAATAATTGTTTGGCCTTTGCTTCTGAAAAGTTAGTATAAGATTTGATAATCCTCTAAAAACATACAAATTTGTTCTGACAGGTCTGGATCTGCTGAAACCATCACTGAAAGCAAATCATACTCATGAGCCACCCTGATGAGCTTCAAAAGGTTATATTCTCTTTGAGTTAGCATTCAACCTTCAGAAAGAGACAAAACCACGAGAAAACATAGGTGAAGTTCTCACTGTCTCTCTATTTTTGCGAATGGCAGAAGACATGGAAACAAGCTATGTGTGAGTATTTCTCTACTGATATTTAAGAATTTTTCTTAGAAGCAGTTTATCTCAGCATAAGTTAAAATTTGCTTCACAATTACTCTGTTCTCAGTAATCCTCACCTGCTTTATCAAGAAGAAAAACTCTGCATATGAACATGGACCAAGAGTCAAAGTTGCCCTCTGTTTATCAAACTCATTACAAGGTATACTTGTGAAAAACTATTTCTTCAAATATCTATTTGTTTCAGAGTTCTACAACTCAAGTTAGTACTGGATTTAAAAATCCAGGCTATACTATCCTTGTCTGGAATGATTTCTACACAAAATGAAAAGTAACTTGCAAGATTCTTAGATCTACAGTTTAAGCTGTTCTTCTATTTGCCCTTGTTTTGGTACATTTTCACTACCTGAAACATTGCTGTCCAATGCCCAACTCTTTCACTGTGAAAGCTGCAAAGAAAGCATAATAAAAATGGAACCACATACCAGTTTAGTGCATCTAAACACAGATGACAGTTTCAGGTAGAAACTGTAGGAATTATTATGTCAAATCAAATTACATTGGTCCAAAAATGTTTTTCCTATGAGCAGAAGTTGTCATATGCACAAAAAAAGTCTCAAGTGTTTAAGTATTACAGTTTGGGACAGGATGGCAGGGAGATGTTGCCTGTATAGTTTTGGTAGGAGACACTCAAGGTAGCCAACATGGCCAGCAATTGAGAGCCCAGTGGCAGCACAGATCTACAGCTCTAACAACTCCTTTCCAGCAAGTCTTTAAAATTACACTGCTTCATTTCAAAAGCAATACTTTTTCGGATAGTCTTATATTTACATTCTCTCTACTAAATATGTTAAGCTTTTCAAAGGACAAAGTTAGGCTGATAGACATTGAGTGTTACAAATGCTTCTCTCATACTTAAGTTCTATAGTCTTTTAAAATCTACTTTGTGTGAAGTTTTGACAGATTAGCAGTCTAGTTATTGCCATGTCTGTTTTTCTTTCATTCTGCACAATGACAACTATCCATTTGAACTCTGAATTACCATTTAGTATTAGAATTACTAAGTTAGTTGTACACATATATGTTCCATTTCTCTGAAAGGGCATATAAAATGCATGTATAAATCACAAAAATATGGCAAATTTTGAAAATCATTGCATATGCAAACAGTGTGGAATGGTCCTTACAATCTACTTTAACTAGAAAGGCACCCAAAATACACAGATTCTGCCTAATTATTGACCAAATTGCAAATGTGCTGAAAAATACAAGTATTACATCTTCATCTTCCATAATTTTCAAAAGAAATGAAAAACAAACCATGTTTTCATTACGGCAGTGAGATTTAAGCCCTTCACACTTGAAAAAATTAATAGGTAAAAAAAGTGCATTAACATCTAAGCACCAACTACCTATCTAGGCATCTATCTAACTAATTTATTTATTTAAACTTCAAAGAACGAGGAAACTTAATCTTGTTCAGAACACGACAGATGCTGATGTACCAAGTACCAACTGCAACTTCAGCTTATGTGATTTTATACGATTAGTAAAATGGAACATATAACACTTCACAACAAAATGCCAGCTAACACCAAATCCTACTGATAAGATAGAGCGAGGGGATGCTTACTGCTTAAACACTACCATAGCAGCCATCTTTAAAATAAAGACTTTTATAATCAAGCAAGAATGATTAACAATGAAAAATAATGATTCATCTCTTAAAAATGACAAAATTGTTCCATTCAGCAAGAGAATGAAAAGCCTGACAATTCTTTTAAACGGCCAATTATAAAAGCCACAAAAAGTCCTCAGCTGACAAAGCACAAAGACCAAAGAGCAATAAGATTTTCAGTCTCACTCTCTGATTACAAGCTGAAAAGTACTTAAAGCTTTGTTAAAAAGAAAGTCAAAGCCTTCTGTAGTATTAACAAACCAGATCAGCTGGAAAATGTTTTTACTCCAGAAGTTGAGTTTACACATTCAAAATGAATCCAGACTCCAAGAAAATGCCAAAAAAGAAACCGTCATGAGCAACCTCAATTTGTTATAAAGATTTTGGCAATATTTTGGTACAGTATTTATGGATATGACAGAAACCTACAGTGATGCCTTAAGGTTTTTGGAAGTAGCAATTACATAAGCAGTAATGCAAATGGCATATTAGAAAAAGAAAAGGAGGCGTGAATAAATTTCAATTCTTGTTTTTCAACTAGCAAGTACTTTAAAATCCAAGTTTTAATAGAACTGAGAAGCTACCTTAGCAACAGGACAACACTACTTCAGTGATCTCTCTTAAAAGTGGTACAACAGTCTGAAACAATTCTTTACTGGAATTACAGAAAATTCTACAAAAGGAATAGGTTTCATAAACAGCTGTAAATTTTGTGCTCCAGTTCTGCACAGAAGATACACATATTTCTGCCCCCTCCAGAGTCTTTCCAAAACGACCTTTGCTCCCACTGATCATTTAAATTAAGGGAAAATCAGAAAAAAAACCCCAAGTATTTACAAAGAGTTCTTTAGGTATGTTTCTACTGCCACAAAAATGACTGTTCATCGTTAGCAATGTAAACAATTAAACTGGTATTGACAGTAAGCACAGCTAAAAATCAGCTCCATTTCAGCATGAAACCTGCATGTCCTGAGCATGTATTTGAGATTGTGTTGAATACATTGCATCTTCGGACGAACTCGCAAAAAATATAATCTGCCATCTGAATGCACCAAAAGGTTTCTATATTTCAATACCTTATATTCCTCCCACAGCATATAAAGTAATAAAAAATAGCTTCAAAATGAAAATCAGGTGTACACTCAAGTACACCAGTAATTACAGGTATCTTCATGTAAAACACAGTGTTACCTCACCATACTCTTTAGAGATACTTTAAAATGTTGCTGTGTTCAGTGCCAGGGACCATGATGCTCTCTTAGCAGTTATTAAACATAAAAGCCAGCAGACCACCAGCTCCATCCAATTAGTGAGTAAATGGATGCTCTGCAAACAAATACAAGACTAAAAAAGACAAACAAGTGTTTTGTGCATGAATTCAAATTTCACTAGCTTTATCTGCACTGCATTTCCTTTAATGCTCTTTCAATTACCTGAGTAAGTTTGACTCTCAGTGTTCCTATTCTGGATGATATACCTACATCATAAACACGACCAATACAGATTTCTTTTAATACATATCTCAAACGGTAAGTGTAAGGTAAAAGTTTATATATATTATATAGATTATACGATATACATCTTGCTTTTCTTGTGGTATATTTTTGAGTGGGAGGTAATTGCCTTTTTCCTCTGTGAAGGGGCATTAACCATGTACAGCTTTCTTCAGTTTAGGCAGTAAACAGATTTCTGAGTTATACTGAAAATCAGGCCTTTGGAATGAGAACAAAACCAAACCTGTAACTTGTGCTTCCTGGTACTCGTGGTCCGGAATTGTTTTCATCTACTGTTATCAAACTGCACATAGAAATATTAGCAGCTCTTGGTAATGACCTACCAGTTTTAGGATGAAAAGCAATTATGTGAGAAGAAAAAGCTTTAAGTCTTAGCTCTATGCTGAGCATAGTTCCTACACTCAAATTTGAAAAACGGCAATTTAAAAACCACCATGTGCAAGTTACTTAGAGGAGCTCCCACTGCAGTTCCTGAAGGCTGGACTGAGACCCTGCTGGGAAATGAGCAGTGGCAATACAGCCCCAAAAGCTGGAGTTCACAACACTGCTGACAGCACTGGCTACAACTCCTGCACATATTTTAATTGCAGCCCTGGGCAATAGAGCGCTCCTAAAAGGCAGATACTGCAGGAAAGAAATACATTGCCTGTATTCATTTGACCACTTAACTTTTGGAAATGAAAAGGTACGGTAATTGTGACTACAGCCATACAATTCACTACATTTGAGTTTTACTACTGCAGTTAATACTTTGACTAGAATGAAATGTCACTTAGAGATTACTAAAATGCAACACTAATAATAATCCTGTATCCTTGCTCATGATTGAGACCTCATTCTTCAAAGAACGCCATTGAAAAGTTCTGAGTAACTCTGAATTTCCCACCTAGAAATAAATTCCTAGATTTGAGTAGAAAATTCATAACCATTCTTAAGAACATCAGGAAGTTCTATGGCCAGAACTTGAAACTGCTAAAAGAAATGCGAGGTGCAGTCCTTTCTTGGTAATTAGGATGCCTCAAGTGCTGACTTAAGGACTGTAGGCAGGCAGTCCTTCTAAAACATGAACATTATTATACGACAAGGGGGAATAGCTTTAAGCTGAAGCAGGATAGATTTAGATTACATACCAGGAAGATATTCTTTATTGTAAGGGTGGTGAAACACTGAAACTGGTTGCCCAGGGAAGTTGTGGATATACCATCCCTGGAAGCGTTCAAGGCCAGGTTGGATGGGGCTTTGAGAGTATCCTGGTCTAGTGAAAGGTGTCTCTGCCCACGGCAGGGAGGTTGGATTTAGATGATCTTTAAGCCCCTTCCAACCCAAACGATTCTATGATTTTATGATTATTAGTGTAATGAGAACTGCCATCTTCAATTAAATTAGTAACACTTACTGATATTGGAACTAGAAAAAAAGCCCATTCCTAACTACCAATTTGTGAAATATCAATTAAATTCACATGGACTAAAAGTTACTAATTGTAAGATTCACAACAATTTCTTAATTCAAAGTCTCTAACGAGAAAACATTTCAAGGGAGACAATACATGATTTCTCCAGAGTCTTCCTGAGTCAGTGACATTGCTGCAGCCTGGAAGCTATGGCTTTATCCGATTATAAAGCCATCCAAAACTCTAATCTTCTTTCCTTTATTCTGTTTTCAAAAGAAATCCTCTGCCAAAAGGTCATTAAATAGTAATAGACCTGTAAATCTACACTGTAATTTTTTTAAATGGTGAAATCCAAGATAAAGTAAAAATTACCACAATACCTATGGCAGGTATACAGCTGTTCACCCATCCAGGAGGATAGACTTGATGGGAGTCACTGAAAAACAAGGACGGCATTTCAACTCTGCCTTGTCTGTACACGAGCTTATGACTGGGACAGAAAGGAGAGAGAGCCTGAGCCCACTGGAGGCAGCAAGTATGGAGCTCTCTGCTTCTCTGGTTGCAGCATTTCTAAAATAATGATAGCCTAGCAGAAATAAGAGCTCTGGCTGCTAAATGCAATGATTC